GCCAGAGCTGGGAACCACGATTTCGGGCTTTTCCGGCCTGGATCTCTCCAAAATCGTGGTTCCCGCCATCCTCGGGGCCGCCGTGGGTCCCAGGGGCGCCAGCCAGAGCTGGGAACCACGATTTCGGGTTTTTCAGAGCCTGGATCTCTCCAAAATCGTGGTTCCCGCCATCCTCGGGGCCGCCGTGGGTCCCAGGGGCGCCAGCCAGAGCTGGGAACCACGATTTCGGGCTTCTCCGGCCTGGATCTCTCCAAAATCGTGGTTCCCGCCGTCCTCGGGGCCGCCGTGGGCCCCAGGGGCGCCAGCCAGAGCTGGGAACCACGATTTCGGGCTTTTCCGGCCTGGATCTCTCCAAAATCGTGGTTCCCGCCATCCTCGGGGCCGCCGTGGCTCCCAGGGGCGCCAGCCAGAGCTGGGAACCACGATTTCGGGCTTTTCCGGCTTGGATCTCTCCAAAATCGTGGTTCCCGCCGTCCTCGGGGCCGCCGTGGGCCCCAGGGGCGCCAGCCGGAGCTGGGAACCACGATTTCGGGCTTTTCCGGCCTGGATCTCTCCAAAATCGTGGTTCCCGCCATCCTCGGGGCCGCCGTGGCTCCCAGGGGCGCCAGCCAGAGCTGGGAACAACGATTTCGGGCTTTTCCGGCCTGGATCTCTCCAAAATCGTGGTTCCCGCCGTCCTCGGGGCCGCCGTGGGCCCCATGGGCGCCAGCCAGAGCTGGGAACCACGATTTCGGGCTTTTCCGGCCTGGATCTCTCCAAAATCGTGGTTCCCACGGTCCCTCGGCGGGGGGATGAGGAAAGTGGGCAAACGCGATATTTTTTGCCCATCGCCGTCCAAACACCGCCTTTGCAGTTTTGGCTCAACCATGGCATCGACGCCGCCTGGCGCCGCGGGGGCGGCGATTGCCGCGGGAGCCACGCGCGCAGGCGCTGCTGGCGACGCGCGCGGGGCGGCCGGCCCGCCGCGGCGTCTCCTGCTGCAGCCTGCCCCCGTCGCAGCGCCACGGGCCCGCAGCCGCAGCCGCGGGAGAACCGGGGCGCCGCCCACTGTGCTGCCAGCGGCCCGGCCAGGGAGCCCAGCCTCAGCCGCTTGCGCGCCGCCCGCGCGGGCGCCGATCCGCAGCTGCAGGACCAGGAGTGGCGCGCCGCGAACCTCCGCGGCGGTCGTGAGAGGCGCGGGAGCAGAGGTCGTGGCAGCTCAGATGCCCGCGTTGCTTGACGGAGAACCTGGCGGGGCAGCAGCAGATCGCGTGCGCCCCCCGTTTGCGGGCGCGCGGGCGCGCTTGCGGGGTTACGGGCACGTGCCCGTCGTAGACCCGCCCCTGGTGCTCGCACTTGAGGACAGCCCTGTGCCCCCTGACGCCGTGGCTCTCGCGGAGCCTGCTGCTGAGGCCGACGCGACGCTCTCGAGAGTCTGTTTGCCGCTGACAGGGCCCGCCGCCTTCGCGTTCAACATCGTTGAAATGGGCGCAGCCGACCCTTCGCAGCCTGGAATTGAGTTCGCTCGGACGGCGTGGGAGCAACGTTCAGACCAAGAGGTCGGTTTCTGCAAAAAGTGGGTGAATAAAGGCGGCGTTGAGGTTTTGAGTGGCCGCTGCATGGAGCACGTCGGGTGCCACGCCAACAAAGGAAAGTCTTTTATTTTGAAAGGTTGTTGGGCGGGCGCAGAGGCTGGGCGGGATGCGGCAGTCTATAAGCTCAGCGTTCAGGAGAGAGGTGATCACGTTGGAGCGGCCAGGCTTCTGAGGGCGAAAGCGAAGCATTCGGC